GAGGTCGGGTAAGTAAAGGAGCTTCTGAATAATACTTTTGGCACAATACAAGCTTGTTTCCTTTTGCTGGCTAGCACATCTCTGCTGTCCTGAGATAGTTCTGTTCCTAAGGCCGCGTTCATAGCTTGCGACCATGAAGAAATGCAGAAATGCGGAAAATGCAGAAGTGCGGAAAGTGCAGAAGTGCGGAATCTGCAGAAAAGCAATAGATACGTATCGACTTGAAGAAATGCAGAAATGCCGAAACTGCAGACGTGCGGAAAGTGCAGAAATGACGAAAAGCATTACATACGTATCGATTTGAAGAAATGCAGAAATGCCGAAAGTGAAGAAGTGCCGAATCTGCAGAAATGCCGAAAGTGTGGAAAATCGATACGTATCGGTTGCTTTTCTGCACATTCCGCACTGTCGGCATTTCTGCAGATTCCGCACTTCTTCACTTTCGGCATTTCTGCACTTTCCGCACGTCTGCAGTTTCGGCATTTCTGCATTTCTTCAAGTCGATACGTATCTATTGCTTTTCTGCAGATTCCGCACCTCTGCACTTTCCGCACTGTCTGCATTTCCGCATTTCTGCATTCTTACATGGACGCAAGCTATGAACACGCGGCCTAAGAACCGGACTGGGCGCCAGGTTCGCGAAGGGGGGGGGAGCCGTACATTTTGCGCTTTCGCTGCTTCGAGTGTTTTCAGTCTCGGTCAAAACCTGTGAGTCACTGTAAAGCAGGGCAGCTTCATCGAGCACCATGACGTAAAGCCTGTCAATCTGTAATCTAACGAATGGCTCTCTGATGGGTGACGCCGGCGTCGATGGGAAAGAAGCGAAGCGCAAAATGGCTCCCCCCCCCTCACGCTCTTCGCCACCGAACGCCGCGGACGGTCTATCGCAGGCTACCTATCAAAGCAAAGCAAGTACCTGAAGGCGATTCATATTTTTTTGACGATAGGTCACGTTCATACACGCCTGCGGGAAATGAATGCATACTTATCGATTCAAAAATCCAGCGATTCTAGCCGATGTAAACTATCAATTCCTATCCCTTCTTCGGAGATTTCGTCGATTCTTCCAATTCCGCGCGTTCTGCGGAGTCTGCGGTTTCCACGGAGATCGCGGATCTTCTAGTGGATAGGTATGCATGCTGTATTTGCTGATTCCACGAGATCTCGCTGTGTGAACGTGACCATACCTTGAGAAACCGATGAAGAACAGACGTTAGATCAACGACGAGAAACGTTCTGTAGATGCACAGTGACATTTTTAAAAAGCTTGGTAAAGGCGGGTGTTGCTCTTCCTCAGAAAAAGAGTTCGACTTCATGGGAGTGTATGATTGCTTAGAAAGATGTAATGGATGATGATGTGGCGAAATCGACGCTAGGAGTTGGTAGTTAATGTTTTGCTGAGTACGGTATTACGGACTTGGTGGTCTGCACACCATTGGTTGTGCTGCGTTTGCCGTTTTTCTCGCTGGTTTCAAAGCGATATACCGTATGCAGAACTTTGAACATTGCGCGTTTCTTGTTAGGGCGCGCTTTATTTATTGGATTTCTATATATTCCACTAGTAAAGCACTTTATTGCTTGCAACTATGTCGCGTAAGTCTATCCGCCTACGGGAAAAGAAAATCAAGGCTGAACTTGAACCAAAAGAGGAAGTCCTGGTGAGAGTCGTTATTGATTCGTTGCTGGTCATAAGTATTTATTTATTTGGCAGTTCTTTTACATTTAGTTCGTTAGCGATTTATATTGATCAACTGGTTCTGGTTCTTGGTTACTAGTTCTTCAAATTGACTTTTGGGGAAAGAGTGATCCCTTTAAGACAACGCTTTCAAGTTTTGTTGTGATACGTCTGCCATCTATGTCTTTATTGATATAAGGATTTGATCTTCCAGACGGCTCCCACCACCGGCAAACGAGGACGCAAACGTAAAGTTCCTGAAGAGGATGGATCCGCAACACCTGCTAAAGCACCTAAAGCGGCACCTAAAACGCCTGGAAGAGGTAAGATAAGTGAATGTGCGCTACAATAAACAGGGCACGTCTTGTGTTGGGATTCCTCTACTGGGGATCGAATTTGGTTGCTGGAGAGCAGAGGTATTCGGCCTGGGGAACATTTTCTTCCGCTTGTTGATGTTCCCGTTTATGTGCTCTGACGCTCCACTTTCCTCTCTCTTTCTCAACTCAAAATTTCGGTAAATTCGAGCATGATCGGTTGTCGGACGCTTGCGTAAGGGGTTGTACGGGAGAAAACGGGGGAGGGGGTGGTAGTGCTTAGCAAAGTTCTCCTCAACGGTAGGACGTGCCTTCACAAAAATGCCTCTGCTCTGATGGGCCGTGTAATCTACTTTGGCGAGAATGAAATTGAGCGATAAAAGTGCCCTATCTAGGTCGTGTTGCTCATGCAAAAGTGAAGCTGTCATACACTGATTACGTATCAAGTGAAGTCGGAGAAAGAGTGTTGTCATGTGGAGAGGGCGAACAACTTGGCCATCCTGGTCGCACGACTACGAAGAAACCGCGAAAAGTGGACCTAAGTCGAAGATGAGGGATTACAGATTGTACAAGTATGTTGCTTCGTTACTGGCCTTATTGTTTTGCCTTAATTTCGTTGACCGTATTTTTAGGTTGTCGCTGGAGGTGTGCATTCTGCTCTTCTAACAGCAGATGGTGAAGTTTATATGTGTGGAATTAATGAACAGGGAACGGTTCCTGCTATAGGTATGAGTTTTTCCTCTTACTTCCCAGATATCATTACTGTTATGGGTGCACTTCGTCACGCAGGTGGTGAGGGGGGGAGGGGCATTTTCGCTGCTTCACTAGGTTTACAAGTTTCACTCTTATGAGATCTATGAACTCTTGTAAAGCTGGAGTAAACTCGTCGAGCCTCCACGGTAAATGATGTTTGTCTGGTAGTTTACTGCTTTACAAGAGATGACTAGTGGTCTCACAAACTTTGGGTGGATTTTGTGGCTTCACAAGGTTCACAGGTCTCCTCTGGATGGCTTGACACCTCGATGGGAAGTAGCAAACGCTCCCCCCCCACCCACGTCGTCGAACCGCCTTGTTATGTTATGTATTTGCGCACCACGGCGTTGACCCGCAGTTTTGTTTATGTTATTATTTGTTCTGAGTTCATCCAATTGTTAGGATGTTGAACCCCGAAGGAAGACTGGCAAATTCACCAGAGTTGATTCCGAAGAACATCGCTTTGCCAAGGAAAGGTATGGTTCTGGAATATGTTCAAAATGATGGTATTTATAGCAAGTCATTTTAGATCGTTATGTTGGCCGCTGGCGCAAGCTTTACAGCAGCTCTTACTGACAAAGGATCCGTGATTGCTTGGGGAAATCTAAGAGTGAGTCAGCAAACTTCATTATTTGGTCTTCTAAGCTCAAACGTATGAATTTGCAGGATACCAGTGGAGAAATCAATGTGCACCCACTTCTGACCAAGATGAAGGATCACCCAGTTGTTGTGATTCATTACAAGAAAAGAGTGATCGTAAAGTGAGCTGTGGAGCTTTTCCTTCTTCAAGTGGTCTATTCAAATAAATTTTGCAGATTGCTGCTGGTGAAAATCATCTTGTCATGCTGGAAGAGGACGGAAAAGTTCTTACTTTTGGTGATGGTAAAATGGGCCAGCTGGGAAGAAGCAAGAGAACAGGCTCCATAAGACCTCGTATGTAATGCTGATCTCATAATCAGGGCACTTCCTGCCGTTAAGGGAAAATTTCGCAAACTTTTCCTCAAAACGACGCCTCCTCAATGATTCCGGCCTACGCGATCCCTTTAGGGACACCCCTCCCCTGTAGTCCTACCTACTCTTCCTGAATTCGGTCCTGTCGTAGGAGCGGGGAGGGGGTAGTTTATAGCGCACGACAAACTTATGAAATTAAGAAAAGTAAACAACAGAAAACATCTCGAAGATTATTACCCCCTCCCCCCACCGGTCATCAAATACGACCCTCCTCGCTGGGGATCCCAAACAACGTGCTCTGATCTAGGAGCCATTAAAGAAAAATGGGAAAAAGAATTTCTTTTTCTTCAAGTTTATTATTTTAGAATACATGGTTGATGAAGACGGTAGATCCTTTAATACTGATACTACAAGACAAAAAGAGAAAGGACATTGTTATAAAGGTGAACGATTTGTCTTTTGATTGACAGCTTTGAGTCATTTGTGAGGGTTTCGAGCATTCTTATGGAGTATACACGCCGGAGGTTCGGACTATGCTGTTTCCGATGACAAGTTTTCTCGTTGGGCCAGCTAAATAATTTCGAACATCCATTGAATCCCATTTTGACGGGAGAACTTCTACAGATGGTGAGTAATTGAGTACTGCTTGTAGTTAACGTGTATTTGGGCTGTGATAACGATTGAAGAGCTTTGTTTCGTCAGGTAGTGTTGTGGTGCGTATAGTGTGGTGCAACCTGTAATTGTTGTTTCCTTATAGCTTCCGAAGAAGACAAGCGAGAACTTCGTATTTTCACACCAGGTGTTGCCGAGGCATTACTTAGGCAAATCATGGACAAAGATGGTGAGCAACCGTGATAGACCGCCTTGTTCTCTATTGCTCTTCATCTAAGCGCTTATATCCCGATTTACCTCTATACAAACTGAGATTGGTTCTTTTGTTTCATTCCCTACATAATGAACTTGGGGTAGAGGTATTTTGGAGGTATTCGTTGTTGACTCCAAAGTTTCGTTTTCGGTTAGATTTCAACGGAGGATATTGGCCTCATAGTCTTCTGTATCGTATTTCTGAAGACAATCATGTACATCACGTACGGACATTCGACAACGATCCTAGCCATATTCAAGGCCAATGGGCCCGCAGCTACAGCAGCGTGCCTTTTTCTAAAAGTGCACGGGAACGCGGCCGGAGGGTAGTGATACCTGTGTGCCGTCTCCGTGCTTCGCTCGTCCTGTCCTCAACGGCTCGACGTGGGTGGAGTACGGAGACGTCACCCCGAAAGCAATTCCCTTCAGCTCGTTACCGTGCACTTTGTGACCGGAGAAAGTAACACGCTACTGAACCTGCCGACACATTTACCCCACATGAAAAGGGACAGGAATCTTTTTTCAAGTAACAATGGTTCTACACAGCAATGAATTCCCTTGTGCGATGGGCGGCGATCCACGGCGGTTGGGCGAATGCTTGTAGGTTATGGCTCCGTCCCAAAAAAGTTTGCTCTGAACAGTAATTAATAGACGGCAACTGGGAGCAAAGTTATGGGCGGTAGCGGAAAACCGATGGAGATTGTATTTGGATGCGAAACTGCCACTTCGCACTGACACTTTCCTTCGATATTTGCAGGACAAGTCTACGGAATCGGAAAAAATACGGACAACGCCCTTGGTCTCGGAACGTGGACTGGAAACGATGATTCAGAACATTGGAAGTAGGTTCAGAGAGCGTTTGGTTGTTGTTTAAGGAGAGCGGAAATTGTGCCAGCCCTCGAAATGTGAAGTTTCATTATCAATAATGAATTTGTCATGAAGGTACTCCACCTTGGAACGCATTAAATTCCCACGAGAAGCTGGAAAAATCGCTGGAACGACAGCTAAATTAGGTTGTTCGATAGCATGGACAGAACATGGAGATGCTTATGCGTGGGGTTGTGACACTAGCGGTCAACTTGGCCTGGGATTAAAGGATGACGATGATAAGGTAAGGGAAAAGCAAGTTGTGCTACAGTGTTTGGCAGCATTCAGACTTCGCGACGACGACGCTGTAATGCGCGTCGACGCGCTACAATTGCAATGGAGCTCCGAAGCCATCGAAGGCGAAATGCAGTCGTAGACGACTGGCGCCGATGGATTCCCATTCGATGGGCGCTTGCGTGTCGAAAGAGCACGGGGCAACAGTATGGTAGATATTGCCTATTCACGCGACTGTATCGGTGGCGTTAGGCTGGCGGTACGGTTCCCGTCTATAGCTCTTGTGGAGGCTGTTGTCTTTGTCGCGCGTTGGCCGCGATGTTGCAGTGCATTACAGTGCGACGCGCTTTATCGCGAAGTCTGAACGCTGTGCGAGCGACTTCTCGCGCATCAAAGCTTCGAATCGCGAAGTATGGACGTGCTTTGGAATGCTATATATTTTCAGGTCGTGCCAACGCCACAAAAAATAACGTCAGCGCATTTGGATGGGTACAAAATTATCTGTGCCTCAATTTCTGACAATCACTGTCTATTCTTGGCCAAAAAAGCATGATTTCACTGAGTTTCTGAGTTATTGCGTGCAATAGTTAGTTCCTACGTTGATTATGTTCGCACGATTCATTATATGTTTGTAATTAAAACTTCCCGTTCATGCTGCCATGTTCAAACCGTGTTTGTACATTCTTATGGTAATCTATCATGAGATATCATCTCGTCGTATTAGTATTAGTTGAAAATTCGTCCCGGCGCTTGTTATATCTTTTCCATTAAACGCTAGTGCGAATCTTGTTGGAGAGTAACTCTCCGTGTTCCAATGTCGTACCTCATTTCCATTTACGTGAAATATCCTCTCCCTTTCATTCGTTGTGTTCTTTTTTTGTTCCACTTATAAATGTAATCATCTACTATCCGTACTATACAAATTTAATCGAGTGATTGTTAATTAACCAACTATTGAAGGTGATACAATGTCAGATACTCTTCACATGACGTCGTTACGTCGAAACGAGATAGTCTGTTACATTAGCCTCTCTTAAGTGTTTTAGATGAATCTCTTTCAACATTTCACGCATTTGTTCGATAAAATTAATGTGTATATGGTCAAGTTGCTTTTTGTTTGAGATTGGGGGAGAAAGTAAGTAGAAAAGTAGAAGTAGCTCTGTGTTTTCCAAGAATCCTCGCTCAACTATCCAGGAGATGTTTACAATCGCAGGTCCCTTCTCCGGCAATTGTTAAAGTGGGCCAGCTACAACAGTTGGTAGCTAGCGGACCGAATCCAATGGAGACCTTTTCCACGTCCAAGCGTCTGCAGAAAACGAGGATAGGCTTTCGCACAAACCGACCTTACTCGGATCAATGTGGTTGTCACTTTCTTAGACCTTGGTAGAGTGATGGACCACTGTCAACGCTCATACCCAGAAAATCACAACATCGAAGATGCGGTTTTGCTTAAAGGCCATCTCGAGGGTGTCTGGTGAACCACTTAATCCGGCGATTTGGCCAAAGCGTTACGCGGAGCTTCGGGTGCAGTCGCTACATTTTCAGTCCTTGCTGCGCGGCGAAACGTGATGTAAGCACACTGATTAATCTTCCACGCCAAAACGTTCGGCAGCCTGCTCTCGTTCCCAAGAAGCATTGCCATTCGTCTTGCCACATACAGTAATGAAAAAATATGGAACAAGCCGATGTGTGTAGCAGGGAATAATCCAAAAACATGGAAACTTCTGGTATTCGTCAATCGAGTAGTCCGGTCTCCGCGCCCCGTTTTCCGAAACTATTTTTTTTTGGTCGTGTCGCCTCCATATTCCTCAGTTTTTGATGCACATTTCCCGCCCAACGTAAAAGTTTGATAATTCTTTTTCGAGTTTCTTTAGCTTTTCTTGGTTCTCTACACTAGCAATATGGTCTTGTCATCTATTGAAAGGGTCCATGTCACCTGCTGTAGTTAGAATCCAGAGTGTGACTATACGGGATAGGATATCTTTCTACTATACTACAATAAAGTATGACTCTTAAGGGTAGGAAATCTTCAATACCACAGTGAATCGAGCGGATTTCCATGAACTTATGAATCCCCTGTGAAGCTCCAGCACCTTCAACAATGATGTTTAGTGGCCAGAATGCTCTCACACTGTTGCATTCGACCAGCCGAAAATTATGCCTCAGTACCTTATTACCTGAAATTTGGCCGATTGGTTAGTTCTCTTTCCGGAAGTTGTTAACTTTCTCAATGGGACAGCTCGGATTAAGTCGTGTCCGGGTGCAGCATCTTGGGAGAAACAGCACTGTCAGTACAATTCTTCCTCAAATTTCCTCTTCCACTGCGACTCCCCTTCTCAAGCAAAAAATTTTCTTACTGCTCGGATAATTCTCTCTCAATCCTAAAAGGAAGATGCAACAGATGAAAGGACCTTTCCTTAGGGCACTTCGTATGTTTTCAGAATCACCAGCGAATGGAAGTCGTATTTTATGCCTAAATGCTCGCGGCTTCCGACTCTTCTCGGTTTTCCTCTTAAGCTGCGCTATTCACCCTCCCCCCCCCCCCCTCCCACTCCGCTCGAGGGCAGTTTCTTGGGAGAACTTGGAGTGTCTTTGGAAAGAAAAGTGGGGAAATTGGTCGGGAAGTTGGGGGAAAATTTTCAGGAAGATGCTAGGCAGGAGGGTCGTACCACAAGGAGAAATTTTCAGGTGAAAGTGGGTCGATTTCTGAAAAAAAAAGACAAAATGGGGACCTTAATCTCCCTCCACCTGACGAAGTAAAACCCGTTGGCAGGAGGCGGGGTTGAAGGCCACAAAACTTGACCCAGCGCACTGAGCAAGAGCGAGTTTCTACTACCAGCTCTGCTCTGCGTCTGTGTTCCAGGGCGTATGCAGACGAGCAGAGTGCTGTCCAAAGATCGATGCCTTTCACAGCTTTCAAGGTGTTTGTCAATCGAATTGAGTTAATTTTAGGGGACAAAACAGACCATTCCTTTAACAGCTCTCTAAAGAACCAAAGCAAAGCTTTTTCGAACCCAGAAGTTCACTTCCATAGCCGAGCAAGACACTCGGTCAGTGGTCTTTGGCCTTGCGCACAAGTGCTGTGGTCTCGGCCGCTTGCCATGAGTAATGTAGTTTCCGGTTTCCATTTGCTTCACCCTCATTCAGGTCCTGTTCAAAGTACCTCTTCTCATCGTATTACTTCAAGGCTTATAAACTTAAAGCCCTTTAAGAACCCCCTAAGATTTGCTTTGTCTGAGGTTCTCTGGGTCTTCTTCAATCGAGAGATTTCTGCTATAAAACGAATAACCTCGTTATCGGTCTCCCTGCTAAACATGGTTTTGAATCTTGTTTTTTTTGTTTCAAGATGAGGGAAGCTCGGCTCTCGTAACTTGTAGCTGTTTGCAGGGTATGTTATTTTCTCAGATTTTATTGACAAATGCAAATGTAAAATGTTCACTATTCGGCTGGGAAGGAGGAGCATTACGCATTTCCTCTACTTCATATTAACTAACGACGATCCTGTTTTGGTGAGATTTCAGGTTAATAAGCTTCGATGGAGGTGATGCCGTTAGGTATCCCATGAAGGCACGAACTGCCATAAATATAGAGCATTGACAAATTTTACACCATTGAGAATGATCTTTCATGTTCAAGAGCTGCCCCTGGGAACAAACTTTCAGCGGATTTAGCAATCTTGCGTATCTAGGCAGCGGCGCTTGTGGCGCGCGCCACGCACTTCCAGGCCAAGCGGAGGTGATCTTCGTGTTCAGGAGATCACCTCCGCTTGGCCTGAGAGAGTTGATAGTGCTGAAAGTCTCTTTTGATAATTCCAGAACACCGTTGATAATCTGTTTTCTACAGCAGTTTGGGAAATCAAACTTTTATTTAACAGAATCTTTCGCGCTATCAAATAAGGTGAAGCATTTGGTGCGAACGCTCAAAGCATACAAAACCACTGCAAAGGTACGCAGAGGGCTGAATATGTCCCCGGAAGGTCGCCTTAAGCTTAGGCACACCTGGCTTGAAAGTAAGCGTTCCGTGGCTTTTTTCGGTACTCTTTGTCAAAATGCCGCACATTGTTGGAATGAGGCCAATTACCGTTGCCCACAAATGTTTCCAGTACTGTAAGAAATAGTCGCTTGCACTTAGTTTGATACATGTCCTGTTGTCTGTGTCTTGAAGAGAATTACTTGTGAATGTATAATCGCTTCCAGTTTGCTCGGCTTCGGTGCTTGAGTTCGTGACACTGCCAAAGACAATCAGTATCAAATCGGCAAATCGGGAGCTCCGCCTGAGCGAAGTACCGCTGCTTAATGAAAATCTCCTTGGGCTTACGGCGAAGCCCGTTTCAGGTGAGTTATTCCTGGCTTTTATTTTGTCATTATAGCATAAACACCATGCATTTTGAAGGGGCAAACGCATCTTGTTATTTTCGATACATTCAATGGTGGCCTGACGTCTGGTCTGAATCTCTTTATCGAAAAAAGTGAATGTGGCTTCAGATTCAATAATTGCCCTCTCTAGGCCGTTCACTGCCGCCTTTGCCGAGCAACTCGGAACGAAAGTATCCCGTCATGAATGCTAGGAACAGTGAGCACTGGGCAGTCTAGTCTAGTTTTCTGAGGAAGACGATCTGTAGGGAACTTTGGCCCATCAAAAAATGTGGCAAACTGACACAGAAACCAATGAAATGTTTCAGGAAAGTAACTTCATAATGATATGT